GATGTTCCGAAAACATAGTGATCGCCCAGCCCGGAGGCGTGGACGTTGTCGACCATATGCCCATCCCAAGGAATGTTCCAAAAACAAGCGACCTTCGCCTACCCCTTGGTCAGGATGTTCCAGAAATGAGGGTCTTTTTTCTTCTCACTTGCTTACCCAAGGGATGTTCCGAAAGCGACCTTCGCCCACCCCTTGGTCGGGATGTTCCAAACACGAAGGGCTTTTTTCTTCTCACTTTCCCACCCCAAGGGATGTTCCGAAAACATGGTGGTCGTCCAGCCCGGAGGCGTGGACGTTGTCGACCACATGCCCATCCCAAAGAATGTTCCGAAAATAAGCGACCCTCGTCCACCACTTGGTCGGGATGTTCCAAAAACGAGGGACTTTTTTCTTGAACCTTGCCCACCCCAAGGGATGTTCCGAAAACATGGTGGTCGTCCAGCCTGGGGGCTTGGACATTGTCGACCACATTCCCATCCCAAGGAATATTGCGAAAGCAAGTGACCTTCGCCCACCCCTTAGTCGGGATGTTCCAAAAACGAAGGGCTTTTTTCTTCTCACTTGCCCACCCCAAGTGATGTTCCGAAAACATGGTGGTCGTCCAGCCCGAAGGCGTGGACATTGTCGGCCACATGCCCATCCCAAAGAATGTTCCGAAAATAAGCGATCCTCGCCCATCCCTTGGTCGGGATGTTCCAAAAACGAGGGACTTTTTTCTTCTCCCTCAAAGAGTATCGAGCCGGGATTGCATTCGCGAGTCATATGATAATCTTAAGAGTATCGATTCATATCTTCTATGTATCGATCTGCATCAATATATATCTTATTGAAGGAGAGATGAGACCGGTTATATAATAGAGGGAGCAGATGCAAGTGAAAACTATTATTAGTAGCAAACTATATAAATGGTAAACGTTCGTCCCAATTGCCTCCATACTCTAACACACTTGCTCGAAGCATATCTTCCAAAGTCTGGAAGTGGTGATGAGAAACCTAGGGAGGAATACTTAGACTTGGCAGAGTCCGATCTGGTTCTCAACGACGAGCCAGAAATCACTTTCTCGGACGTTCGACGGTCTTATCGAAAAAATCTCCAAGTCTTCACTGCGCTTCGCTTCTAAAGTTGGGGGAACTAAAACGAAGAATAATGCTCGACGCTCCGTCAAGTGAGCCCCTCTCATTTAGGAAGACGAGGTTAGGAGTGAATTACGAGTCGTACCAATCTGTGAATCGAGCGATAGGATAGAAATGTATCTATGCTTCATTCTTCTGAAGGTGGGAGAAAAGAAGAAATTTCTAAAGAAATCGTATGAGTGATGGGTGCATATCATAAGAACCAAATTGAGAATCTGTGAAACCATACAGAATGTTGGCAAATCCATTTTAACACTTCCAAGTGAATCACATCTATATCGTTAGATGAGCCAGACTTGTAAATAAACCATTATAGGAAATAGAATCCATCAACACATAAATCGACCATTTTGAGAATTCATGATGAAAGTTTGATTTAGGATCACATCAGTCCAATTGCTCGAGTAGAAAAGAAAAAAAAAAAATTCACACATAATACTTTTTAAGATTGGCTACATTCCATGACCCGGCTAGTGATCTGCCCTCCGCGTCCTTCAAGGAGTATACTCCTCCTGCATGGACTTTTTCGACCAGGTATGGTCCCTCCAAATTGGGCTTCAGCTTGCGAATGTGCTTGAGCACGCCAACCCTTTTCCACACCAAGTCACCGACCTGGAATCGGTGTATCTTCACTTTCCTGTCGTGGGCCGCTCGCATCCTTTGTTTGTATGCCTCAACTCTGGTCGAGGCTTGCTCTTTGAGCTCCTCGATCGTATCCAGGGCGGACATCATGAGCTCTTCGTTCTGCTCCTGATTGTAAGTGCTTGATCGTTGGGACTATAACTCCAACTCGACCGGCAAGAGTGCCTCCATTCCATAGACTAGGCTGAAAGGTGTCTCCCTGTAGTCGACCTCGGGGTGGTCTGATAGGCCCAGAGTTTAGATGTTAACTCATCAACCCATGCCCCTGAAGCCTTTCTGAGTCTTGTTTTCAGCCCATTCAAGATGATACTGTTGGTCACCTCCACTTGTCCGTTGGCCTGCGGGTGGGCGACAGAGGCAAAATGCTGCTCGATCCCCATCTCTTCACACCATGCCCTGATCCACTTTTCGTTGAATTGCATCTTATTGTTGGATATTAGGACTTTAGGGACCCCAAATTTGCAGCAAATGTTGTTGTTTAGGAATTGGATCACTTTCTCTTCTGTAATTTTACCCAACGGCTCGGCCTCTACCCATTTCGAAACGTAATCAACCGCCACGATTAAGAACTTCCGCTGCCCTGTTGCCTGCGGCATTGGCCCTACTAGGTCGATTCTCCATTGTGCAAATGGGATTGGGGCACTTATCGTGGTCATTGCCTCCGCAGGCTGGTGGATAAGTGGGCCATGCTTCTAACATTGTAAACACTTCTTCGCCAACTCCTTAGCCTCGACCTTCATCGTGGGCCAAAAATATCCTGCCCTCAAGATCTTGGCGACCATAGCCTACGCCTTGCTGCGGTCGCTGCAACATCCTTTGTGTACTTCTTTGAGGACATATTGACCTTCCTCCTTGGTCACACACCTTATATGTGGCCCCGCGTACGATCGCTTGTAAAGAATCCCTCCTTGCTCGAAGAACCTCCTCAGCACCTTCACTGTCTCCCCTCGCAGCTACTTCAAGATTATGGACCGCCAGTCCTCTACTTTCTCAATCTCTGCCACCTCTGCTTCGACCACACTATTTTCCATGTGCAGCAAGGTTACGCTCCAGCTTTTACAATCCATTAGGTTTTGAGCAATCTTGGATAGCAAATCAGCTCGACTATTCTCCTCCATGGGTATCTGTATTAGCTCGAATGACCTGAACTCCTCCTTTAACTTCTTCATATCGTCCACGTATCTCTGCAGCCTATCCTCCTTGATCTTAAACCCCTCTTGGAATTGTCCTACCACCAACTGGGAGTCCGAGTGGACCTGTACCCTTCGAGCACCCCCGGTCAGAGCCAATTGCAACCCTTTAATCACCGCTTCATACTCCACCTCGTTGTTCAACACTCGAAATCCCATTTTAACTGTGAACTCCAGGTAATCCTCTCTGGGCGACACTAGGAGTATGCCCAACCCTGCTCTATTTCTCGACACCGAGCCATCCGCGAACAATTGCCACACCCCTTCTGCTTCCTCCTCTAACTTTGTTCCCTCCGGGATAAAGTCAGCTAAGACTTGCGCCTTGATCGCTCTCCTTGGTTCATATACGATAGAGTATTCGCTCAACTCGATTGTCCACTTCACCAATCGACCAGACACTGATGGTCGCCCTAAGGTCTGCTCCATGGGCATGTTCGCCCGCACTTTCACTTTATTATTTATAAAATAAGGCCTCAATTTCATGACCGTCACGACCACCGCCAATGCACACTTCTCGATTTCTGAGTACCTCAATTTCATCCCTTGCATAACTCGGCTGACATAATATATCAGACATTGAGCTACTCCTTCCTCGCGTAGCAGCCTGAACTCACAACTATCTCACCAATGGATATATAGAGCACCAAGTCTTCTCATTGCACAGGTTTTGCTAACAAGGGCAAATAGCAAGCACCCCTTGCAGCTCCTCGAAAGCCTTCTGCGCCTCGACCGTCCATTGGAATTTCAAACTCTTCTTCAGTGCTTTGAATAGTGGGCCACTCTTCTCTGCGACTTTGGAAATGAATTGCTCAGCCCCGCTATTCGACCTGTCAATATTTGCACCTCCTTCACACTTGTTGGTGGTCTCATTTCGACCACCGCATGGACCTTCTATGGGTTTACTTTGGTCTCGCGCCTTGTCACCATGTACCCCAAGAATTTCCCCCCCTTCACTCCAAAAGAACATGTAGCAGGATTGAGCTTCATACCGTATCTTCTCAACGTTTGGAACATCTCCTTTAAGTCTGCTACATGGTCCGCTTCCACCTTGCTCTTTACGAGCATGTCTTCGACATACACCTCCATGTTCCTGCCCAGCTGCTCTTTGAAAATTTTATCGACCAGCCTTTGGTAGGTTGCTCCTGCATTTTTCAGGCCGAACGGCACACCACATAGCAATATGTTCCTTTGCTCGTTAAGAAGCTCACTCTCTTCCTGTCCTCTTGGGCTAAGGGGATTTGGTGGTAGCCTTGGGACGCATCCATTAAGCTGAGCAATTCGCAGCCCGCCGTGGAATCTACCAACTGGTCGATCCTCACAGTGGATATAGGTCTTTCGAGCATGCCTTGTTTAGATCTCTGAAATCAATGCATATCCTCTATTTCCCTTCTGACTTCGACACCATCACTGTCTTCGACAGCCATTCTGGAAATTGGATCTCCGTAATGTGACCCGCCTTCATCAGTTTCTCTATCTCTTGCTCGATTATTCTGTCCATCTCCGCCACATGGTGTCTCCTCTTTTGCTTTACCGGCCTCACAATGAGGTCGATATTTAGTCTATGCTCGACCACTTTACCCTCTATTCCCGTCAATTCCTCCACCGTATAAGCAAAGATATCCGCGAACTCCCTTATTAGCCCGACCAGTCTCGACCTAATTGGCTCCTCCAGCTCCTTCCCAATCCTAAATTTTTGATCATCACACCCTTGTACCATCTGGATTTCCTCGACCTCATCTCCTGGTTGCATGTCTATTTTCTCCTTCCCCTTATCCTGCTTTCCCTTCTCCTCCTTCGATCTCGACCCACCTGGTCGATCCAACAATTCCTCACCGCCATTCGACTGGTTGTTTGCCAACTGCTTGTTGTTGTGGTCTGATAGCAGCTCCTTTACGTAAGTTGGTCCTCAGCAATCTCGCCCATATTTTCACCCACGGGATACTTGATCGTCATGTGGTACGTAGACACGACCGCTTAAAACGCATTCAAACCTGTTCGCCCTAAAATGATGTTGTATGACGATTCCGCTCCGACCACCATGAATCGCACCATCCTCACCTTCCTTGTATCACCTGACCCTAACGCCACGGTTAAACTCACCTTGCTCATCGACATTACCTCACCTCCATTAAAGCCATATAAAGTCGTCACCATCGGCTTCAATTCCAGATTCAAATGTTTGTTGATCTGAGCGAAACAGTCATAGAACATCACATCAATCGAGCTTTCTGTGTCCATGAATACCCTCTTTACGTCAAAACCTGCACCCTTCGCCGTGATCACCAGCGCATGGTTGTGGGGCAATAAAATCCCCTCGACATCCTCCGCTTGAAAGTTGATCACTGACATTCGACCAATTATCCCAACCTCTTCCCTCTTGCGCTTGCTGGCTCGCACATGCTCCTTTCGTGCGTTGTTTAAATTGCCATCCATTGCCCTCCAGAAATCATGTAAATTGTGCCTCTTTTGCGGGAATCTCTCCCCTCTACTCTCCCCGACCATCGTCGCCTCGCCTCGCCTCCTTTTCTCTGCCTCACCCTATAGACCACCTCTCTCCCTCCTTGCATCATCCTCTCCATCATCTTCCCTATCACATCTCACCACCAAATCCTTCATGCACTTCCTTTTCTCCTTACCACGTGGTCAATCACGGATAACAAATTCCTTCAGGTGCCCCGCTCTTACGAGATGCTCAATCTCATCCTTCAAATGTCTACAATCCTCCGTGGTATGTCCATAATCCCTGTGGAATCTGCAGTATCTGTTCGACTGGGGTTTAATTGGTCCCTCAAACCTCATTGCTGGACATGTGACCTCCTTGCTCTCAAACTTTTCCTCTATCTCCACCAAAACTTCTCCCACCTGCGCGTTTATGGGCATGAAATTGTTATATCTCTGGCCATTAGGTAGACGAGGTCGTCCCTGCCAGCGATCCTCTCGTCCTCCACGAAATGGACCTCACCCATCCTTCTTGGGCGACAATCTTTTTGATGAGCCTCTACTAGGGGAACTCCTCCTAGGTGATTCTCTCCTAGGCGAACTCACACTCCCTTTCTTCAGCTCGGGCTTGGCCACCTCCTCGAGCTTAGCAAATTCACCCTCCGTTTCTTTCAAGTTGATATACTTCTTACATCTCTTCAACACCTCATCATAAGTTCTAGCGGGTGTCTTTGCCAGCGATGTTCGACAAGGGCCCGCTCTAAAGCTCCTAATCAACCCTCCTGCCTTCACCTCGCCCACTGCTTGCGGCACCTCCAGGCACATTTTGTTATATCGAGCAACATACTTGCGCAAGGACTCCTTCTCCCCTTGTCGCATGGCCATCAAGGTGAGGTACGTCCTTTCCTAAGCCACAGCACTCGAGTACTGGTTGGTAAGTTGGCTCGCGAAGTCCTCGAAATCTTTAATCGACCCTGGTGCAAGTTGATGAAACCAAACGAGCGCGCCTCCCTGTAAGGTCGATAGAAACACACTGCAGCTAACCAGATCTGAATATCTGTGCAACACGGACATATTCTCGAATGCCCTCACGTGCCTTAACGGGTCGGTCGTCGATCCATCAAAGATAAGATTTATCTCCCTTAAACTCATTGGCAGCGGTGCGACCAAAATCTCCCTCGAGAATGTCTGTCTGGCCTTCCCTCCACCTTTTCTTGCAGTTGACGGAGTTGCTCAGCCATCCTCTCCATCGCCCTGTCCTAGGGATCTCCTCCTCCGCCATAACTCGACACATCCTCCTCTTGGGTTCCCGCCACTGTGGTCGGCGCAGTGGTAGCCTGAGATGTTTGGTGAGTGACTTGTTGCACCGCCTGGGCCGCCACGTTGGCCACCATCCTTTGCATCTCTACCTGGTCATTGTCACCATTTGTTGAGCATGAGGTGCTGCGCCTCCTCCTTGTTGTTCTCCAATAGGTGGCACCACCACTTGCACCCTAGCTCCTCCTTGCTGCGCCACTCCTGGAGTCGCCTACGATGGCGCGAGAACAGCCACCAGTGTTGGACCACGAGCCTCCTGTTCCCTGCTCGTGCCTTCTTCTCCTCCTGGAATCGCCGCACCTTGGGGAGTCGGTGTTGGAGCCACCGGTGTTTGCAATGGTGCAGAGAAGCCAGGCGGAGGACTTGTTTCCATTGGTCGGGTCGTCGTCCACGTATCATCGAACGATGACTGCAAATTCATTTGAGGAATTCTGTCTGCCATGGTTGAGCTATGAACACAACTTTTCGAACAGAAGTCCCACAGATGGCGCCAATAATATAAGTCTAGCAACCCGACTGACTGAAAATCGTCTCGAGCTCGCCTTCCTCGCCGGTAGAACACCGAACCTGTACGTAACACTCACACCGGAGGGATTTTCCGGTGAAGAGCCTCCAACGCTCAAGTCAGATCTTGAGAAGATAAGAATATATGTGTAAGTATGTAAAAGTATGAAAGATTGTCTGTAAAAATGAGAGTTCTCGTCCCTATTTATAGGGACGATTTACCTGTTCCCCACGCGCGACTTGGGCGAGTCAAGCTGATAGGCCTTCTGCTCATCCGTAGGATCGTGCGCCTCCACTATCCGGGTGTCAGAAAACGCGTCATAGCGTGTCAGGGAATGTCAGAAACTGTTATCGCCCTAGACCACTCGCTACGCGCCGCGTGTCCCCTTTCCACGTGCTGGGGATTCCCTTATATATTCTGCCATTCGACCAAGTCTGGGGTGGTTGCTGAGTTGTCCCTAAAGTGCAAGGTGGTCGATTTCACGACCACGCTCATCTGACCATCTTTCCTCGACCAGATCCTCGGGCAGCCGGTACCTGTCTACTATCACTGAATCCGCTCCTCTTCGTCATCTACTTCTTCCCTTCATTATGGGTGTCCAGTCCGTTCGACCAGACCGCTAACCTGCTTTATTTGACAGATCCGACGAACCGGTCCAGTATATAATATCCCATATCACCCTTAATTTCTGAAGTTATGACTTTTCTTTAAGTCGTGATCTGCTATTCCTAACTTGTTTGCATCTATCAAGGCTTCAATTAAGTAGCCTGGTTTTTCTTGTTTTGTGTAATGATCTAAAAGATTATTTTTCTTTATCCATAACATTTTAATCTAAAATTTTAATATTTTCACTTGTTACCATGTTCTGATACCATTTTTGTCCCAATTTTTAATTTCCACTTTATTACCATAATGACTGAGAAATTGCAAAAATTTATAGATATTATGTTTTCATTTTTTTATTTTTTCTTTTATACTTTTTAGATAATTAACTAGGTTTCTAGTTCTGAAAAGCAAACTCCATGGCAATAATCTCTTGTAGAATGTTTTTATAATAATTCTTCTTGAGTGTTATTCCATTATATAAGGTTTTCAAGATTTTCTAAGAGATCCGCTCTAATAAATCTATTTCGTTTTTTCTTAGATTACCATAAATATCTAACTTTATGGAACTAGCATTAATCTTTCATTAATAATGTCAAACTCTTCTTTCATCTTTAAAAATTAAAACAATCTTCAAAAGAAATCGTTGTTTCCTTTTCTTCTGATGTTTTTTATTTTATTTTCTATTTTTTCTAGTTTTTCAAGAATAAGTTAATTAATATCAGGTTCTTCTTTGTGTTCTTCAATATGTCTTTTGATATCTTTATTTAAGAAATCAATTAATCTAGTAAAGTTATTTCTATCAATACTCGTCTTTTCAGAATATTTAAATTTATCAATTAACTGAGTCCTACAATTAGCAAGAAATTCTTTCAATCTTTTTGTATCTGAAAGACTTGTTTTTCTTTTTGAAAATTTTCAAGTCTAACCTTATATACTCCTTTATTTCTAGAGATAGAAGCAAACATTTACCTTGATTTCTTCTCTGGTTGAATTTTCTAGAACTGATTGGTCCACCATAGCTTCCTGCTTTCTTTTTAAATTCCAAACATTGTGCTACAAATCATCTTACAGCCCTTCTTCATGGGTCTTACTCCGACGAGCGATTGTGTCTCCAAGAATCTCTAGTGAAATCTTAGCCTGAGCTATTGGTCCTTTTTGACTCATTTTCTTTTGAAGTTAGATAACTTCTAAATTTTTGAAGCTATTCATGCTTCTATGATTTGAAGCTTATATCTTCTTTGAACTAGTTTTTCAAAACCTTAAAACTTCTTTTATTGAACAGTAAAAATGTTTACAGAATTTTGATGACTTTTCTGAAGATGAGAGAATGATGCCTTACACACTCCAATGGCACACCCTTGTAAAGGAAATATAAATGCGTGAAGTATTGGGGTTCGATACATGTTGTCGTCTCACCAAATGCATTTTAGAAATGGGACTAAAGGCATAAAATCTCCACATGAGTTTGTCTGCTACATTATTACATAGTTGTAGGGACTACACTTATCAGAAATCACATGACAAGGTTCATATGACTGCTACATTATCATATAGTGGTAGGGACTACACTTATCAAAAATCACATGGCAAGGTTCACATGGCTGGTAGGTTTCCTTCTTTTATTGTGGTAGGGTCTGTGGCAGCTAGCTCGCTCGAGCTGTTTTCTTCTTTTTCCAAAGTGGTAGGGTCTTCATCACGTTCTTCCTTTTGCTTATCAAACTCTCTTTTGTCGTTAGCGTCGGCGATCTTCTTCTTCTTCTTTTGGTGTATTTCTTTCTTCTCATTAACAGTAAGAACAATAGACTGCACCATTTGTTTTGTTTCTTCTGTGGCATGGATTTTAAGGATAAGATTATCCTGTCAATTTTAGACTATTGCCAAGTCTTGTTTGTCTATTTTCTTGTTGAAGTTACTGGCCAGAAGAATATTCGGGCTACAATAATTCACTTTAATTTGGCTTGATAAATTTATTTTTCTAATGTTTGAAGATAAAATAAATTCTATCAACTCTTTCTAATTTCAGCTCTTCTTTTGTCAAAGGGGGTTTTTCTTGCACAAGTGGTACTGGAGTTTCACTTCTACAGTACCCCATCATAAATATAGTGATATGCTGGATATTGTTTGTCTTCATCCCAGTCTGGTATTGAACTCTAGATCTTAACAGAGATTGATTTGTTATTTTCATGAATTCTTCATTTTTCCATGTACAGAGCAATTGCCTGTTTATTTTTGGAAAATATGATAACTCTTTTAGACTGCTCTCTGGGTAGAGGGTATCAATGAATCCTCTTAAGAACAAGTCTTTGTTATTTCAGGTGTAACTCCGGGTAGCAAAATGATTTTAATCTGTTGATTTATGCTAATAGAAATATATCATTGTTCACTTGTACTCGCGTTTACCTCTTCGTATAGCGTGAGCCATTCTGGGTTATGGTAGTTTTGATTAACTTGCTATCAAGTTGCTGCATTTTAAATTCATCAAATTTTATGAATTTAAATGATGTTCTTTAGGAATCCAATGTTACAAAATACTGATACTTTCTCAGTGATTTTGTTCTTTAATGTTAAAAAATCATCCTTGCTTCAAATTCAGTTTTTTTTCGTGCGGAATTCAGGCGGTAAATCTTTTATATTATTGAGGCTTTGATAAA